CCTTCATGTGTCTGGATATTAGAACACCTGGACCAGAAACAAGTGACCCAAGGACACTCCTCAGCCTGTCCATTTCACCAAGCCCCTACCAGGCCTGGTCTTCATACGTATCTAAAGAGGACTCAACAAGCAGGAGGCTGATGAGAGACATCTAAGCAAGATTTCCTCGTGAAGTGATTCAGTTCCTTTCTTCCCATTCTGGACATGACAGGATTCAACCACATAGAGGACAGAATGAGAGAGAAAACAGCAACCTTCCTCTTCCAAGGCAAGAACACCCATTTTTACCAGTAAGCTCAATAAGTCACTATCTCTGCTCTTAACTACCCATTTCCAAAAATGTATACTATGCTAGATATTTAAGATTAAAAAAAAAAATCAGGGGCTGGAAGGTGTCTTAGGAGATAGTGCTTGCTCTGCAAACACAAGAACATAATTTTGAATCCCCAGAACACATGTTAAAAACAAAAACAAACAAACAAAAAAGATATGGCTATGCATGTAAGTAAAATACTAGGAGACAGAGACAGGCAGAACCAAAGAGCTTACCAGGCAGCTAGGCCAGCCTAACTAAAAGGGTTCTGTCAAAGACCCCATCTTAAAGGACTAAGACTAAGAGCAATAGAGGAAGATACCCAGTATCCTGGTGTCCCCAAGGGCATAAACATAAATACTTAAAAATTTTTTATGTAGGTTCATATTTCCATCCAGTCAAATGAGTTACCTTATGTTACTGTCAGGACCCCCGAGACTTCTCAAAAGTGTAAATAAACAAAGAACCTAACAGAAAGGCTGGAAACATCACAGCTTGGAGACTAGACTGGGGGTAAGAAGCAGCTCTATGATCTTTGAAAAGGAGAAAGCCAGGTATAGTGGTATACTTGTAATCCCAGCACTTGGGAGGAATTTAAGTTCAAGGTCAGCCTGAACTATACCATGAGTGGTTCTGGGACAGCCTGGGTTACAGGGTCTCAAAAGAAAGTAAGTATTTGAATGAATGAGTAAATGAGTGAATGGAGAAATGCCAATAGGACCATTAAGATATTAGGTTACTTAATCATGTAACACATGTGAGTGCTCCATCTCCTATGTAAATGAAGGAGAGCCAGTTTCCTTGGAAAACGCTACTCTACCTTTTAAGAATTCTTAATGTGACAATGCTAAATTATACGAAATTGCTGATACTTGACATTTTATGAAAGAAAAATGGAAGTTTCACAAGGATCAACCTAATTGATATGAACAACCATGTAAAGCAGCACATTCTAAATCGGAACCCTAGAGAGGCTCATACTATCCACACTGCAGAAAGAGAAGGACCGGTGTGATTCTGGGGCTGATACTCCCATCCCAGGCTGGACTTAGGACCTTACGAAGCCTGAATGACCTTGGCTATTTTGGGAAGCTGATCAAATGCAATGTTGGTTCCTAGCCACCACCTGTTACTCTGACACCACAAAGCCTACATCCCACAAGAGACTCACAGGCATTCCGAGGACAAACCATATTATGGGGAAATGCCACAGGAACCTCCCAGTGGCATCTCTGGATTCTAGGAAAATCCCTTCTACAGATGCCACATCACAGTCTACCATCTGAGTTTTAGCCATTACTGCACTTATGCCTGCAGCCTTTCAGAAATTAGTTCCAAAGGATGATTCGGACACCACCTTGAGTATCTTATGTTGTTTTTTTAAAAACCTAAAGCCCTTAAAACTTGAGAGAATTTTGCTTACACTCTAGTTTAGTTCTAGAACAGACTTTCTCTATACCTTAGCAACTTTCTTCCAACCAAAAATTATTATTGCAAAGGAGTTTTCAATCTTTTACTTGTACATATATATGATGTGCTCCTGTATACACACTTACGTGTGTGAATGTGGGTACGTGTGTCATGGTGCACATGCAGAAGTCAGAGGAAACCTCAGATGGTCAACCCTTCACTTTCGACCTTGTTTCAGACAGGCTTGTTTTAGAGTTTATGGTTTAACTCTTCATGGTTTTAGGGGTTTAGGTTCATCCCCTACCTATTACATATACCAAGCTAGTAGACTACAAGCTTCCAGGGATACTCCTGTCTCCACAGCCTAGCTTCCCACATGCTCCCATGCCTGCCATTATGCAGACTCAGGCCCTCAAATGTGCAACAAGCACTTTATCTAGAGCCATCACCCCAGCCCCAAACAAAGTTTCCTTTGTGATTCTCTCTTAGGAAGCCTGCACTCATCATAGGCATGTACTGCTGTCCTTCTTAAACATGTCACCCTTCGTCACTTAATGCCAGTGATTAATTCTACAATAAAAGATTCTCCTAATAAACTCCAACTCTGCTTTTAAAAAGATAAAATGTATGTTACAGGCATCAGTAGAATATCATTAGAACAGTAATTAAATCCCAAATCACTCATGGAACCATCCCCAGATCCATAGGGGAAAAAAAAGCCAATATCCTGAAGAATGTTTTTTGTTATATTATTTCAGTATTGGGTCAGATCCTTCAGGCTGAAGCAAAGTGAACCCTGGTATTCTCTGGATGAGGTGGTCCATCTGCTGGTCACTTCAGTATACACTATTTTCCTTGATAAAAAACACGAAGTACAACTTTGTGTGTATGGATTTGTTAAGTCAGTTTCATTACATATCCTAACTCACAGTCTTCCTGCATCAGCACCCCAAGTTTGGGACTACATGCACACACCACCATGCCCAGCCTACAAAATCTGTTATATTAAAAAAGAATGCTGTCTCACAGCTGAGAAACAGTGGGTTCTTTTATGTTCGATTAGATATATAAAAATACAAAAAATGACTCATGTCAAGGACAACTTCAGTGGACTCTGAGATGAATATTTGATTACCTTTTGTTTTTGGTTTTGTTTTTTTTTTGTTTTTTTTTTTTTTTGAGACAGGGTTTCTCTGTGTAGTCCTGGCTGTCCTGGAACTCACTCTGTAGACCAGGCTGGCCTCGAACTCTCGAACTCAGAAATCCGCCTGCCTCTGCCTCCCAAGTGTTGGGATTAAAGGCATGCGTCACCACCGTCCAGCATTGATTATCTTTAATCCATTAGGAAGAAAGCCGATTGGTTTGGGTTTGCTGGGGCTGTTCCTACTAGATCTTACTCTTCCTGTTCCTCTGACACTAGATCTATTTATCTCCTTTATTTCCCATTTTCAGAACCACTATAAAGCTCAAAACCACTTCAGATCTAAATGATACCAGTGAAAAAAACTTTCTAACAAAAAACTGCATACTTGTAAGTTTTTCAACTAAAAGTTGAATTCATTGCCAAAAAGTAAATTAAAATTTCTTGTAAAACCTGGGAAGCAAATGTTCCCTGAAGTCTCTCTTCTCAAGACTGTATGTCCATACAGGATGTGACACGTGGAGATAACAGTATCAGTCCTAGAATAGGCTTCCTAGAATCCACAGAACACAACTGTAGGCCTCTGCACACACAATCTTTTTTTAACATTTATTCTTTATGAGTTTCACATCATGCTCCCCAATCCCACTCATCTTCCTGTCCCCTTGTATCCACCCTGTTACCCTCGCAGACTTCCACTCAAAATAAAACACATATACACACGCATGCACGCACACACACAAACAACGGCTTAGAAAACACCTCATTGTGGAAGCTGTAGTATCACACAGTGTGTCCCGCAGTCTGTCCCTCTGTCCACACATCTTCACTTGCAGATGTTCATTGATATGAATCATTGGTCTGGTTTGAGATCTTTGGCTTCTACGGCACCATCAACATTTGATCCTTATCAGGACTTCTGGTTGTCCTGTTGTTGCCCTGTGTCGTGGAGATCCTGCAGCTTTGGAAGAGCAGGACTGGCCCTTTCACACATCCCAACCATTTGCAAATGATACAGATGTTTGAGTGAGCCAATTCGGAGCTGTAGATCTGGGTCTGGGTGGTAGCTGAGCAGGTCACTGTACCAGGGCGAGCTCTCCAGCACTGTTCCAGCTAAGTCATCCAGTGCCACTGGCTCGCCCACACCACCCCTCCATAGCCAGCTCCATTGTGCTGCCCAGACATGGTGTGAGGGGGCCCATTCTCCCAAGTGCTACAGACTGTGAGGGGCTGGGCCAGCTCTCCTGCTCTCACACCCTCTAGGCGGGCTCACCTGTACGTTCACCATCAGAGCCAGCTCCACTGTGTTGCCAATGACAACACAATGCAATGTGCAGTGACAGCTGAGTGCTATAGCTAGTGAGAAGGCAGGGCTAGGTCTCCCATTTTCATGATCCTATAGGCAACTTTCCTGACTGCCTGAGGTGAAGGAGCGGGGGGCAATCATCTCTATACCATGTCACCCCATGGTAGATGTGTGGTAGGGTCAGCACTCTATGCTTCTGAGGTGAAGCACAGAGGCACACTTCTGAGAGCCAGCTCTCCAACATGCTGCATCCAGAGACAAGCATGGCAAATTATGAACAGCCCCTGAACATCCGTTTCATTCCCAGAAGCTGTCCCAACCAGAGACATCTCCATGTTCTCTAGTGCTAATATGAGCCATGGACATTGACAATGAACCCAACCACTGCATAGCCATGACCCTCAGTAGCAGCTCAGGCTGGGACTTCACCATGGCCTCAGGTGGAAGGGCTGGCCATTTACATACATACAACAGGCTACTCCTCTCCACCCTTTAGTCTCCAGTTCCATATCTCTTCACAATACTCAAGCTGCTCCACTTTCTCTCCCATCTGACCATCACATACTCGTATGTTATGGTGCCTCCCACTGTAGGCTGGCACATGGTGGGGACCCCGGGTGACATCCTCCATCTATTCTGCATGGCATGGCAGCAAGCAGTTATCTACAGCCCACCTGTGCTGCTGTGGACAGGTCTGTGGGTGGCATGGTGGTCCATACGTCTCTGTTTGTCTTCCTCTTCCTGCACTGTGCTGCCTGGATTGGATGGGAGTGGGAGTGGGATGGGACTGGGACTGGGACTGGGACTGGGACTGGGACTGGATTGGATTTTTATGAGTCCTAGGTATGAAACAGCTTTCGCCACCAAGCTAGGTATCAAGCTAGGATGAACAAAGGACTGTCATCTGCTCTGCCCTTGACTGATAAAAGAATACCTCCACCACCATGGTATCTTTTTGCCCATTACTAGGGAACACTTTCTTAATGTTATAATTAATTTTGTGTTAAATAGATTGTTCAACTAGAAATCTACCTGCCATCCTTTTCTAGAAATTCTACTGGCTCATGAGTTTGGAGAATTATTACCTGAAAGTTGATACTATACTTTATCCTAAAGACATCTAGTGCCCATGGCACACTATTTGAGCTGCAGTCAGCCCTCCGGCCAGGTGGTTCATGAATACAAGCATAAACACACAGAGCGAGTGCACAGCTGGAAAGAGCAACGTGCAGCAAGGAGAAGGGTGTCCCAGCTCCACTCTTCTGTCCAAGTTTCCTGGAGCATTGCTGTCTGCAGAAGCTTAGCACGTGAAAAACGTGTGAGTTTTCATGTCAGACAAGAAACACTCATTTACAAAATGAACAAAGTACTTAATTTCTCCAAACACTGATTCCCTTTTCTTTAGATGGAGATCATCCAATCAAAGAAGTTCACAGATTAAACTAAGCCTAACAGAATCTGGGCACAAAGGAGATGCTGTTATTTACAAGGTCATGGTCATAAGTATCATCCCTATAGGGGCTTTAAATGAATCCACAGAAACCACGGGGTTCTAAGTTGTACTCTAAACCCAGCTAGCACTATAGCTTTGACATACATGTGTCACAAATCAATAAAAGTTGAACCTAGAGAAAGAATGAGGCAGTGCTCCCCCAAACAAAGCGATTCAATAACACTCCTTTAAATAAAGGCTGGCATGCAAACACACAATTTGGAGCACACACAAAATATGTATTCACCAAGGAAAGGCTTCAGAGACTACACATACACAGTCACACGTATCCCACGTCACCATCAGTCCTTCTTTCTGGGGCTACACAACAAGCCTGAGAGTCCTCAGGGACAGGTCCCACACACAGCATACTGCCAACCCTGAGAAAACATGAGATAAACAGAAAAACTATAGAAAGCACAGAATTCTAGACTACAGCTCTTCAGGGTGGAATAAATATCCTGCACGTATGTGTGGATGCATGTATGCATATTGTCAGCCACATATGCACTTGAGTAAGAGAGCAGGAGCATATCCATGTGAATAGAGAACTCATCCAATTCTGGAAAGAATCTCTATTATATAAGTAGTTTTTCAATCTCAACTTCCTGAAAAATAAAGTGCAGCATGGAGGGATTTCCTGCTTCCTGCTCAGCAGTCATGGGTAGTCTTCCAGTTATGGCTATGCTGTGTCCCCATGAGCACAGAGCTCAGCATCACCATGATGATAATCGAACCTGAAGCATAAAACATGAGCTGCAAGGAAAAGCAAATACACTCTCTAACTTTCTCAACGTTTTTTAAAATACGGTTATTATAAGAACAAATTCTCAATATCCAGAAAAATTAAATTTTTCCAAAATGATTCATCCCTAAGGGATTAAGGGAGCCAAGAATTTGCTGTAACTTGTATCTACATCTGAAAATAATATATCTCTTACATCCAGGGAAGCACTTTAGACAGGCAATGCCACAGCATCCCTAGAAACCCTTTCCTCTCATGCACGTTAAACAATCAGAAGTGAAAAGTCAAAATGGTGATGTTGCATTGTGACCAGCCAAATATTTTAGGAATATGTGAACACGGTGAATATTTCCAAGGCTTTCCTGACCTCAATTTAAAAAAAAAATGAGATGAGAAAGAATAAAAGTATATGGTGGTACAATTCTTGGCTGGCCTGGAGCTTCCTATGGAGAAGAAGTTGGCCTCAAACTCAGAGATCCACCTACCTCGGGCCTCCAAACACTGGGATCATTTGCTGCTACCTAGGCTGGCTTTGAACTTCCTATACAGCATATAATAGCTAGAACTTTTGATCTTCCTGCCTTTATCTCTTAAATTCTAGGATTCTAGAAATGAGCTATGCCCATGAAGTCTTCATGTATGCTAGGCAAGCTTTCAACTAACTAAGCTACATCCCTAGTCCTGGAAGAGCAATTACTTCTTAGCAGTAAAACCTAAGGACTCTCAAGGAAACTGGCATAGCTCTTATTCCTACTGTACAAGGAAACGCTGCTCTTAAACATAACTTCCAAGAGCTGGACAGGGAAGAAAGCAATGGTTCTATACATTTCTGCCTCTAGAGGTCCTCTGGAATCTAACAAGAGCCAGCTTGGCAGTTTGGAAAGTGATCATGGGAACCCTCCTAAAGTACTTCAGGAGGGGCATGAGTCTGCTGAAGAACATTTCTGTGACACTCAGGGTAAGAGCTAAAGAAGGCATGTGGTGCCGAACACTGAGTTTTAACAGAGCTGCTGCTGTCTTGGGTTTACCACCCAAATGTACCCATTAGCAGCAGTGTGCTACACTGAGAAACAATTATACTCACTCTAAAACAAAACAAAACATGCTAGAGAGATGGTTCAGTGGCTAAAAACTCTGGCTGCTCTTGCAGAGGAAGGGCCTTGGTTCAGCTCTCAGCATCTACGTGGTAGCTCACAACCATCCTTAACTCTAGATCCAGAGACTCCAACACCCTTTCCACCTTCATGGACACCATGTACAGGCAAAGTATTCATACACATAAGATAAATCTAAAGAAAACACACACATACATGCATGCATGCATGCACGCACACACAACCAACCAGCTACAGGAGGAAACCTTAAAGGGAGATTTACCACCCACAAAGGAAGATGCACTGGAGCAGAGCAATGCCCACACAGGGATCCTCTTCTCCCTTGGAAGGCCTTTACTGACTGCCTGCCAACAGGCTGGGTTGTGCATGCTGTCTCATTTAGCATTTCAATTAGACCCAGCAAGTATAACCAGCCCCACTTCTACAAATAAGCAAGTGGTGGCTGGCAAGACATTACAGTAACTTGTCTCAAGTCCTGTAGCTATGGCTGAAACTCTCACTCTCACCTGCTGAAACTTTCTGGAGTAAATACTAAAAATGCAATAAAAATTAAAAGCTTCTAAATCACCCAGGCACTTGGAACCCCACATCCTTTCAGTGTTTCCTCTAGTGTTTTTTGTTTTCTAGTCTTTGCCAATTCACACTTACTAAATAATGCAAATGTTCTGTTTTCTGTATTTTCCTCCTTCAGAACACCAAAAACACTAGAGGAAATGTTGGAGGAGGGGATAGGGGTTACACACGCACACACATATCAAACACTGCTTTAAACACAAGGACTCACAACAAATCTAAAAGGTGAATTTTCCTGTTTCCCCCATTTTGCAGATGAGTAAACTGAGATAAGTCAAAGATCTTGCTCTCCACAGTGTTTAAAGGCCCAAGCTATTTCCGATCTCACAAGTCTCTGCACTTGACACTGCTAGTCAGAAACACAAGATCAAACTTCATGCAGAGCAATTAGTGATTCATAATCATACAGGTTTCATTTTGTCTTCCAAATGCTATTACCCAACTGACTGCTAAAGAGAGCAGGAAATGGAAAAAGACTGAAAATCCCTGATTTCAGGTTTGCACAACAGACTATACTAGAGAAATCACAAAAAGAAGGCAGAAGTACAGATAGAAGGCTGGGATGTGGTTCAGGGGTAGAATGCTCACGGGAGGCTACAGGTTCCAATCCCAGCACAATCAATCAATAGAAATAAATAAATAATGCAAACTAAGAACCAACGAATGAGGTTCTTTTCCTCCTTGGCAAAACAGGGAAGGCCTAAACAATAAGCGCATACAGTATTTTAGTTATTAAGTTGATTTTATTTTCAAGATGGGTGTGATTTTCAGTTTTGTGGTTATACTTTTCCTCTGGGAAAGAGGTCAAGATAAAGGTTTTTCTGGTTACTGGCTCAAGGAAATGCTGTTTTAGGAAAAAGCTTTAGTCTATGTGTTTTCAGAAGAGACGATTAAGATATTTCTACCTCCCAGAATTATATGGATTAGACATGACAGAGGCAGGCCACCAGAAGACTAGATTCCAGAATTCAAACAAAAAAATTATCTTGATACTAAAATTGGTTTTGAGAATTATATATTGCAGAATACACAGCCTTGGTATATCTACTCATCAAGCAAGCTGAGCAGACCTGCTCGAACCTCTGATGTCCTGGAATTTCAGCTGAATGCAGTGAAGACACAGACATCAGAGGCTTATCAATTTACCCTCCCCCCACCCCTCTTCTAATATCTCAACACCCGTAATCAGCTTGAAGAAGTTAATGAAGAGCCACCGCCCCTATTCCCTGGGCTTGGGGACTGAGGTGGTTAATATTGGGCTGTCTTTCTAGGGAAAAGTAGTGGTTTTGTTGGAACAGGGAGGAATAGCTAGGATTTATTGCATAGCCATAACCTACTGGCAGAAATCTGTATAATTATTATTAAGCTGAAGTTATAATTTCTTAAATGGTACAAAATTTACCTTGATTTCAAATGTAAGGTTTCCATTGGTATGAGTTTCTTATTGATATAAAAGTGAGATTAATATTGTTACTCTCATAGACATTGTGCCTATATAACAAATTTAGGAATACAAGGCTTAGGCCCAGTCCCTCTTCAACTTCTTTTTTAACTGATTTGAGATAGTTAGCCTGTGAGTTAAGGGCCTATAACAATTGCATGGCTCTGAGTTTATTGTTAGGGTGTTTTCTATATTTTAATTAGAAATAGCAGAGAGGACTTAATGGACAACAGTCCAGATTGCTTTACATAGATAGTTGGTCTTCAAAAATGTCAGAAGTCCACAGAAGTGACGTTACTAACATTTCTGTATTAATGTTCATTTTGATTAGAGACCTGTCTGCTCCTGACAGCTTCCATGTCTTGGATTCTAAGAAGAAATTGAGCATCTTTGGAGTTACTCCAGTTGTAGTGAGACAGCCACTAGGCAAAAATTGCCTCTTTTCATCTACAGACTAATCACTGTCCAGAAAAGGACACACTTGCGGAATAGTCGACTGATTATATCTGCCAAGACAGAGTAATCAGCCCTTAAAAATTCTGCATTACTAGGTCTGTCAGATGATCCTGGGCCAGAAGGCTGAAGATCGGATGCTCCAACATCTTTG